TACTTTTGTCACGGTTTCTACGTCGCAAATTCGCGACTATAGCCGCTTTGAAAATTTATTCGTACTGCAACCTTGGCGGCTATAGTCGTTTCAAATATTTTCGATTCTTGACACACTTTTTCACACTGAATCAAATTTTCATTGATCTGTAGGATTCAGTGTCTTTTTTTTTTCGTTTCTCACGGTTTTTACGTCACAAATTCGAGTCTATAGCCGCTTTGAAAATTTATTCGTATTGTAACCTTGGCGGCTATAGGCGTTTCGAATATTTTCTCGCGCTGTAACCTTGTCGGCTATAGGCGTTTCAAATATTTTCGCTCCTTGACACACTTCCACCCTAATTTTTGCCTTCCGCGCACTTCCACCTTAATTTTTGAAATTATAAATTTGAAAGTTAGGATTTTTGGATTCTTAAAGATTCGCTGTCGCTGCGAATATTTCGCGTCGATCTCTGGGGGTTCCTTTAACAGTATCGTTTACAGCGACGTTCACCACGATGTGAAATATCAAAAATGTACTTGGAACAACGGTTATTTAATAAAACTTCAAGCCTTCGAATAATCGAAGCATTGACGTACTTCGTGGACGATAATATGTACACTCGAAAAGAAAATTACACGATCAGAGAATTTATATCGATACTATAGATTCACCCTTTTTAACAAGAGAGAACAGCAAGAAGCCTGTTTTTCTTTGACTGTGCGTACACGAAACGTATCTCACGACGCCACAGTGGAGTATTGGTTAGAATGTCATTTTACACGAAAACTTAGAAAAATAAGAAATTCAGAAATAAGCCGATTTATGTACGTGATTTACTTCACTGTGAAATTTTCATATTGAAACTCCCAATTGCTAGAGTTACACGTGTAAATAAGGAAAACAAGAATATATCATCAATTTTTAAGTAACTTTTGCACAATTATTTTAAGAACGTTAAGTTGCAGACAGAAAATTCGAAAAGATTAGATTTTAATAAATAATAATAGAAGCAGAAACAAGAAAAAACCAAAATCCTTTTTAAATGGCCTTCTTCTTCTGCCAAAATTCTGGCACAAAAGAAGGCTGCTACGATCCTTCGTTTCGGTAAAATTATAAAAAAAAGAAACACTTGTTGGAATTTCAACGAATAGAAAAAGATTTCAATTTTTGGCCAGATTTTCAAACAAAAACACTCCACTGTGCGACGTTTCAAATGGCGAACAACGAGCGTTCGCTCCTTCTTAGAATCTCAACGAGAGACTTACGATCTCTCCGACGAGAGACAACGAATGAGAACGAAGGTAACGGCGGTGTATATAGTAACAACATAGCAACGATATACATACTTACATATTACATACGATAAGTTACATATGTACATAGAGACAGCAGATAGACGTATAGTTTTTCACGTGTACGATATTATGTATTATTAATATAAATATTACACTCTTACATCTTAGATCGTTAAATTACAAGACGCGTAGGGTCACGTTTAGTACGTATACAGTCGCATCTCGACAATTTCTGTAATTATTCATTCCTCGACCCGTGTGCCCTCTGTTATTTTCCACTATTTCGTCATCTTTCTTTTTTCTTTTTTTGTTGCAATTATTTTCTGTTCACCACTCTCATACCTTTCGTCCTTTTTTTTAAACGGTCTCACGTCTTACCACTAAGAATCGTCACGCGACTTCGCCGGCACTATTGAGCCCACGATAGATATGAATAAAGTGTTTTTCTTCATGACCGTGTCTATACAATTATACTTCGCACGTTTTCGTTACATCTAGAACCTGTCTCGCCACGTATAAAAACCTTACGAAAATAGTTGCTCTATCATAAAACCCCGCAGCTCTTATACGACATTACCATCTTACATCGTATTACAAAGGATCAAAGTATTATAATTCTCGTCGGTAGCGTTTTTATTTGTTTTTTCTTATTTTTTTGTTTTTTGTTTTTCTTTGTTTCAAGCCCACGATCCCGTGAGTTTCCTTGTTCAACATTGAATTCCGTTTCCCTTCCTATTTTCTTTCATTTTTCGTCGTCGTTGAATCGTCAGGAAGTTCTAGCTTCACTCGGATGGACCACACGTGATTTCGATTTCTCTCTTTTTTTCTGTTTCCAGTGTTTTTCTTCCTGTTTCCTCCCGCGAGTTGGGTTCCTCGCGTAGGAAAACAGCCGATCGACGGAGGTATCGTCTAGCATCGAGGAAGGATGCTGAGTAAATGCCCGGTAAAAGTCTCGTAAAAGATCGACGAAACTGTGGGGCTTGGACTGGGCAGAAGGGAACAGCGGCGTGTGAAATCGCTAATTGTCTGCCTTTCTGGATCGATTCGTCGATGAAATATTGCAAATCGATCGTGAAAATTTCGTAATTCGTTGAAATCTCAAACAGTGATAGGTGAAATCACTAATTATCTATCTTTCTGGATCGATTTGTCGATGAAAGATTCGTTCTTTGCAATTCTGTCGCGATCGTTTAATCTTCTTCCGAACGAAAATCTAGAACTGAAAGAAATCGCTAATCTTTCTAGATCAATTCGTCGATGAAAGATTCGTTCTTTGCAATTCTGTCGCGATCGTTTAATCTTCTTCCGAACGAAAATCTAGAACTGAAAGAAATCGCTAATTATCTATCTTTCTGGATCGATTTGTCGATGAAAGATTCGTTCTTTGCAATTCTGTCGCGATCCTTTCATCTTCTTCCAACGAAAAATCGAAAACTGAAAGAAATCGCTAATCTTTCTAGATCGATTCGTCGATGAAATATACGTTCACATCGATCTACTTTGCAATTCGATCACGAAAATTTCGCAATCGATCGAAATCTCAAAGAGCGACACGTGAAATCACTAATTACCTATCATTCCGGATTAATTCGTCAATGAAACATTCGCATTTATCTGTTTTGCAATTCTGTCGCGATCATTTTATCTTCTTCCAAACGAAAACCGAAAACGAAAAAAAAAAGTCGCCCAGAACACCACTGTAAAATCAACATCAAAGAAAGCAAACATTCGTTTCACCGCGCTGTTCCACATCGTCGAGTCCAAGCGATACGCGTTCAACGGACAAATCTGCGTATATAATTTCCCTACGATACGATCGCAGAGATCGAGCTCTAAAAAAATACGAACACGCGCTCTCAGCTAAAACCGTCAACCACGATCGTGCCATTTTTCCCCATTCCAAAAACCAGCACGCTCGTCGTCGAAAGCTCCGTCAAGAAGCGCGTAGCATGGTCTCTGTACTAGCTCGTGACAGGAGCAGCCCTCCTGGAGCGTCGCAAAAGGTCGTTATTGTCGCCAGTGACCGCGTTAATTCGTCGCACACGTGATCGATAGAGAATCAAATTCGAGAGAAAAACGGTAAATCGGTCACTTCCGCCTTTCCCCGGGTCGCGTAGACGCACAGAGAAATAGCCGGGAGTAGAGAACGGTGATTAGGAACAGGCTGCTTCTATGGTTTCGGGAACAATGCAAGGATCGTCAGAGATGATCAAATGAGAATTAAGGGAAAAGGCAACGTTGATAACGCGGCAAAGACGAAAGCGTGTGTTGTTCTCAATCGTTCGATGTCGAATCAATCGATAAATACAACTAGTATCGTCCGAAGCGCACAACTGTTCGCTGTCTGGTCGGTGCGCTTCGAATGTATCTCTCTTAAATAACTCTGCTTAGTCGGCCGATCACGGCAGGCGTTTTTATTTCATTTTGTTTTTTTTTTTCTCGTTTTTCTTTTTTAATCAATGTACGTATGGCACCGTAAGAAGTCCCAAAAAACGACTAGATCGTCTAACGTTCCGATAAGAAAATATATATATATGTATGTATGTATGTACGTGTATATATATATTATGCTTGTTGGAGCCGACCGTGCTACGAATAATAAGTACCAGTAGTGTATATAATAACGTAGTAATCTGCTTTTCTCGCATGCGGAGGTAGTGTTTAATCGAAGTTCGATCGACTAGGCGATCTCTCTCTCGTTTCCTGTCTCTCTTCATCTTGCACTCGACATTCTCTCTCTCTCTCACGTACACGCTATGCCAGTTAATGTGTAAGGTAACGTTAGGTGTTATGCAATTAGTGTCATTTTAAATCGCAGCATGCAATGCACGGATAAATTTCTGTGTTACGTAGCCTAAAAAAAGACCTATGAGTTAATTCGTCGAGACGAAGATCGCGCAGTTTCGGCCCTAACCCTTTCGTCCAGACGACAAGTACAATTACAATGGACCAGCAAGTTCCACGAAGGATCGTTCGATCGACCGGCGCGCGACCTTAAAGTGTCGTATCCCCGCTGCGTGGAGATCGCGCGCTCGATCGCTCTCTCAGGACTGATCTACCGTTCGCGAACGACCAGCTCTCCCGTCTCTCCTCTACTCGCCGCTGTCGCGAGCCTCGCTCGGTTACCAAACTCGGTCCCTTCGTTCGCGGATTCCTTAGAAATCTAGAAAGGTGTGCTCGTGAAAAGGAGGAAAGCCCTCCAAGTGTCCGAGCTTCGTCGTCGCTATCTACGCTCCCTACGTTCCTTCGTTTCCTCGTCGTCTCGCTGTTCTCTGTACGAGGTGAATCACGCCGAATCTCCGCTCGGACACGTCGAAGCAGAAGGATCCGCGAGAGCTGTTCGAAACACCGGAGGACACAAAACGACGTCTCGGAGAAACGTTGTTTCTCCCCCTCTCATTCGTCGACAACAACAACAACAGGCCTGGTAAACGTCGCGGAGCATCGCATACGGAACAACGCGAATAGAGAAAGAAACACAAAGGAGGTGAGGTGTGGGGAGGGAGGGTGGAACAGCCGACGACTGATTTCGCGGTTGAACAACGTGCTTCTATCCGTTGAACTCCGTTATTAATCGACGACTTCCGATCCGAGTGACAATCGGTTGCGATCACACGTGACCCAGAATCTCGGACCGGCTCTCACTATGAAGCCCGTTCTCCGGGCAGCCAGCCACGGAATACACCCGACTATCAAATCTCGACGCGACTTGCGGTGTCAGATTTAGACGCCGGTGTGGTTGAATATGTAGGAAACGTTGCTCTCTTGATGGACAGGCGGTCCGTGGAAGGTTCGTCTGGTCGATGAGTTGTTGTTGTTGTTGTTCACGTAATAGGAGGACTTCCTCATGCTGGTGGAGGATGACATCATCGCGACGGTCTCGTAGTATCTGATCTTTCCGCAGCAACGTCCGCTCTTGAGGATCGCGACGAAACCGCGTCGGTATTTCTTGTTGAAGAAGGCGTAGAGGATCGGATTGATGCAGGAATTGCTGGCGCCTAGCCATTGAGCGATCGGCGTGGCGATAGGCAAGATCTCGTCCTCTCTTTCGGCCACGTCACCGCCGATCTTGATCACCGTGAAGATCACGTAGAGGGGCAACCACGATAAGACGAAGAGTATGACGACGACGACTAACATTTTCACGACTTTGACCTTCGATTTCTGCTGTATCCTCTCCATCTGAGCGTCTTTCGTGTCGGTGGGTATGTGCCTTCGCCACACCTTGATCCAGATCAGTATGTAACAGAGGGAGATTAGAATGGTGGGAAGAACGTAGCAGAGTGTTAGATTGCCGATTAGGAAGAAAAGGGTGCCGTCTTCCGGTTGAGGCCAAACCTCGAGGCAGAGTCTCAGGTCTGGATCGTCGTCGTAGATGGCGACCAGGTCGAAGAAGAGAAGCCACGGTGAGGTGATCGTGAGAGCGATGAACCAGATCACGACGATCATCATTCGGGCACGACGCTTCGTTATCTGACACTTCAGGGGCCACCAGATTGCCAGGAACCTACGAACAGGCGGATGGTGTTAGTCGTTTTGTAGTGCTTGGGGGAGGATTTGTAGTGTTAACGCGATACGAAAAGATATCTTTGAGCTTAGGAATTACAGGTTATTGTTGGAATGTGTTTCAAGGGTTGAAATATGTCCTGACGAAGAGAAAATGAAATCGATACCTCTGCGACAGTTAAGGTCCAAACTTTCGATTTTCAGACTAATTGTAAATTACGTTCTTAATAGAATAAATTCTTGAATAGAATACAGTTAGGTTCTATGATAGTATGACTTCCTAACGTTTAGATGAAAACTTCGCGAGTGTTAGGTAAAGGGTTAACGAAATTTTAGAAGTTATCCCTTTTCCATATAAACAGAAATTATTCTTCGTTTCTGTTAAAAGTGTATCGGTGTATCTTAGTGTCTCATTACTTCTATATTATGCAATCGGTTTCAATGGCCTTGTGCAACGCACAGCTTTTGAATTCAGGTTTTTACTAGCAAATTTCACGTCAGATACGATCTTAAGAATGCCTGCAATAATTGTGAGTTTAAAAATACCTAAAACGTATTAATTGCAATTAATAATATCCTCAACGTTTCATTGTCTCACTTTTTACAAGAAAAGGAAAGAAATTAGAAATCTCGAGATTAGCAGTTTACAGCATACTCCGTACTAGAATTGAACGCAAAAGAAACGTTAATAACCGACAACACGGAATTGCACAATATCGTTAGCGATTGATAGAGAGCGATAAACGTTAAACGGAACTCCGGTACGGTAATACGTTTCGAAGCAAGAGGATTAATCGATGCAGCGCGCTTTTCATTCAGAGTTCGTTTCATCATTTCAGAGATTAAGAATTCCTGGAACGTTATTGAATCAAGTTATGGTAAATACCTTTAGAGGTTCTTCTTTTTTTTTTGCGCGCGATTGTCCCTGCGTTTAATACAACCTTATCCCGAGCCACTTGCTCGCGGGAAAGGATTCATCGTGCATTCGCACGAAAGTGAACTATAAATGAGCGATCTTTGGAGAATTATAATTGCATTGATACCGTGGATGCATACTTATCGCGAGAGAATAAATAAGAAATAACGAACAGCGGAATTAAAGAGATAATTCATTTTTAAAAAAAGCTCTACTTCTTAAAAGAAGGTGTGTTACATCGAAATTTTTCAAATTGCATACTTAATTATTCCGAAACTGACAAAATTCTTGAAATAAAAACATTATTCATGGTATTAGACATTGGCATAGAACGACTTGACCCTCTGCACTCGAAGATATTTTCACTATAGCCTGTTACCTCCAAAATTGATATTCAGTATTTGCTGAAAAATACATTCTCTTTTTTATTTCTTTTAATTATTTACCAAATAGTACAAAATAATGTCGCTTCTCAGTCGCCACTCGAGTGCAAAATGTTAAAATTAAGGTCAACACTGACGAAAGATTAATCATAAAACAACGATTAACAAATAACAAAATAAAGATTAATCACAAAATTCCACATGTTTCTAACAGTATTTCTTCAAATTATTTTCCACAAACACTGCTAATAGCTTTCACAGGAATCGCATCAAAAATTTTCCTCCAACTTCAATTTCAATTTTTCCTTCAGCTACCAAGAGCTCCCTCCGCTTCGATTAAAATTGCAACCATAATTCCGAAAGATGTTGACAATCGAATCGTCGAACTATCAAGAAGCTACCACGGACGAAGAGACGAAAACGAAGGAAAGTTTAAAATACCAATGCCACGACGCTTATAGCACGGTCAACGTCGTTATTGTTTATCAATCACGAAGGATCGTAACTGTTTTACGATTGCAAAGCACGAGGGATACACCTACGCGGCCGTGGAGTCGTGACGTTGAAAACGTAACCGTTCATTTTTATGCCTCCATTATGGAAATCTATATTCTATTCGTGGTTTCGAAAGACACTCGAGCCCGTTACGCTTCGACGGCCACGGGTGCTGGCTGCGTAAGAATAGATATAGGAAAGCGCCTTTTATGCGACGCAGCGGCAATTCAACATTCCCGTATCGTGGTCTAGGAAACGAGTCTTGCCCCGATAAGGTGTCGTTCGTCAGGAATTTGTTAAGCAACCGCACTCGAACGGAGCTGATCTCCAAAGGGGAAAATTCACCCCGAAACATTCCGTCGTTACGGTCGTTTCGATGTGACGCAATGAATTTGATTAAATTTGAAATTTTTCATCTTACGTTGAATTCTCTGTTTTTATTTTTTTTTTTTTTTTTTTTTGAAATTTCTGTGTAGCTTGCAGTGTACAGTGATTTCAGACTTTTGAAATTACTTTCGAGGTAACTTTTGAGATCAATGTTAATTTTTTGTGGATTTGAATTTACCTCATTTTGATTGACTTGAGTGATGCACAACAGTTCGTTAAGAAAATTCTTTACATTGCTAAATTTTTTGGGGGGAGGGAAATTTTGTGGAGCTTGCAATGCACAGTGATCCCAAACTTTCGAGATAACTTTTGAGATCAATGTTAATTTTTTGTAGATTTGAATTTACCTCATTTTCATTGATTTGAGTGATGCAAAATTTCTCGGGAAAATTCTTTACATTGCTAATTTTTTTCTGGGAAATTTTGTGTGACTTGTAATGCACAGTGATCTCAAACTTTTGAGACAACTTTTGAAGTAACCTTTGAGACAACTTTTTCTCAACATAACACATTTCCCTTTTCTCCACAATTCCCTACATTCCCCATTTTCCTATTTTCCTCACTCTTTCTCAAGTCAGACGAACCACATCAAAATCTTCCCTCAAAAAATTCAATTAACTACACCAGACCAAAACGAAGAAGAAATTACAATATCAGAGACTCCTAATTCATACTCCAATCTGAAACATACCTCCCAGCCATTTTCCCTGTCACTCTCCTCTGCACAATTCTCCACCTAAGTGAAGCTCATCTTAAACGAATTCCACCCTAAATTCTTCATTCCTCGCGCAAACAACCGAATCCACCTACAACACCGTGCAAATAAACCAAACTCCACTCGGAATTCCCTCGCGAAATAGACGAATAGACGGACGCTCCTTTTCAGACGGCAAGAGGATCTACAGCACGATCGAAGGAACTCGAAAAGACGCTTCTCCCGTGGTCCGTCGTTAATCGAACGATGCTCGCTCGCTCATAGTTGCACGTTGCCTTCCGTTCCCAGCATGGGACTAGCAACGTTTCGAGACCATTAGCGAGCGCAGTCCTTCGTCGCTTTTAAGCAACAGCGACGCGGCTCGAAGGACCTCGCTTTCTCCGGCGTCGCTTTTAATCAGAGAGGTTCCCGCCGCTGCGAACATTCGTGTCCTTCGATTAAACGAACGCCACCGTTCGTCGCTGTCGACGCTGAAGAGTCCTTCTATAAATCAACGATACCGATCTAACCAGCCGTGTTCCCATCGACATCTTTACTTCCGAGTGGGGCGTGCTGAACGCGTTGTCTCTCTTCGACCGTTGCATATTTACGATAGGAAGGAAAAAAATGCGCGGAAGACTGGAGGTTAGGTTCTAGGTAGGGGAAGAAGATGGAAGAAGCTGAAGAAGGACGAAAAAATCGCTCGATTCGCGGATACGGATTATCGGGAGCTGATCAAGGCCGCGAACGTTGGAGTAGGGTGAAACAATGAAGATGACACAGCTTTCGGTACATGTATATATAAAGAGTTCGATTTCTCAAGCGTTAATAGCAGTATCGATTCGCGTTCCTTTCGTGTTTCTGAACGGAAAAGCCGATAAAACGTTTAACATGTTCAAGCTGGCAAGTATATATACGTCGTGTGTCCCTAGATTCGCTGTTGGATAATACGCTGGATGCTGAGAAGTGTAGTTTTGGGGGAATAAGGGGGGTTTTATTTGGGAAGAAAATTCGGTAATTGAAAAATTTAGAAAATTTGGAACTTGCCGGAAATTTTGTTCAAGCGGTTGAATAAAACGGTTCTGAGAGTGAAAACCCAAAGAAATTGGCAATTTTCACATTATCGTGAATATTTAGAAAAATCGTGTACGATATGGAAAATGTTCAAGTGACGATAAGAACGAAAAAATTTTCTGTTTCGTCTATGAAACAGTCCTAAGAATGAAAACTCAAAGAAATTGGCAATTTTCACATTATCCCGAATATTTATAAAAACCGTACAAAATATGGAAAAAGTGTTAAATTCGAAGTTGCATGATTTTTTGATATCCCACATTCTGGTGGTAAAGAATTTTCAGAAAAAATATTAAATTCATAGTTGCATGGTTTCTGATGTCCTACATTGTGGTGGTAAAGAATTAAAAAAAAAAAAGTGGTGGGAGTAGATGTTGAAAAAGGGGAATTTCAATTTGATAAACGTAATTGCAATTTCATCGACTTGAATGAAATCAATTAATTTACATTGTGTAGGTATTGTTGTCCGATTACAGTGTAGTCGCTCAATTTGAAAATTTTTAATCCGGCGAAGTTGTAAATTAACGCTTCTCGTGTTGTAACGCGGTCGTTTCACATGGTTAATAGGTTGTACAAACATTGCGCTTTAGTAGTTCGTTAGAGTAGCTCCAGTGAAATATTCCATCGACGAATGTGTTTAATTAAAAATTTTTAATTGCATTTAGCGCCGAATTTCGACAACTTCGCGGAATCTCTGACGATTTCGCGAAAACGCCAATTAATTAATTTGAACGTAGCGCGAGCAAAGGACGCCTCACTAACTTCGATATAATAACTTTCATTTAATAGTTTTCTAATTAATTTGTGCGAAGAATTTTTATTTCGTTAAAAAAGGAAATCTTCAGAGTTTCCTTTTGCATGTTAAACAGAACAAGAAGAGAAATTCCTAATAAATTTACATCTTGTGAAGTTTATTATTAATTCGAATTTATTTTGGAATTCATTTTCGAGACGTCGTATTGAGAGTTTTTTGAAGATTTAATAACGTGTAATTGGAACAAGTGATGAAGAAGAAGATATAGGGAAGCAAGTGAAATGAGATCGTTTAGTGTCAGACACACTCTCAGTTGTCATCAAATAAAAGTTTTCTCCAATTTAACACGTATACTTACGAGTAAATTATTCAAATTTGTGTCATGTACGTTTATTTCTATTAAATTCTTATAAATCTTTCACGTTTGATAAAAGATATTTCTTCTAGCCGTATTATCTTTCATTTGAGACTAAAAGTAGATAAACTGTAATAAATATGAATGTAGTAGGTACTTATGAATATTTATTATACGTTTATTATTTGTACAAAGAATTTATGAATATTTACAAATTGAACAAATTGAACAAAACAAACATTTCCTACTATTTTTCTATTTATTAGAATTAATAACACTTTCAATAGCGACTTAAAATTCCAAAATTTAAGGTGCGATTTTGAAAAAATAATACTTTTCTTATTCGTGTAATAATACCTCTTCCAAATTTCATATAAGAAAATTCTTTATGCAGCCAGGGAGTTTAACAAGAAATTCACATCGTTATCGTAATTCTTCGAAGAAAACTGTCCGTATCGATTCGATTCGACAAGGAAATAAGTTCCTATGGAAACCAATTAACCGATTTGATTTTCTTAATGAAGCTCCTTGTGATCCGGCGCAGCGGTGAAACGAGTACAATGTTTAAACGGCACAGTTTTGTTGGTCCGGACGTTTAACGCGGTAAACTTTCTTTTTCTTTCGTGGCAGGGGCCGCAATTAAGCAATATTGCGGAACGTGCGCGAGAACGATTCGTTTCGAACTTTCACAATTAGCCGACAATTCGATTTGCATAGAGTTTGAATTGCGATTGATCATTTAACGCAGGGCTGTTTGAACGTTCGACTGCTTTTAAACGCAACCGGCGGCGGCGTGTTGACGCGTATCGATGTTCAACATGTGTGCATGGAATAATTAATGAGATACGTAACTGCGCTATAATCGCGTTATATTTATTCCCATTATTGCTCACTTGAATTGAAACTTGCAAATTCGGAAATGTGAAATTTTATTTGAAGAAGGTTCAAATAATTTTTGTCATTTCTGCGTTACTATTTTTAAATAATTTTTGTCATTTCTGCGTTATTATTTTTAAATAATTTTCGTATAAATTCTGCATTATTATTTTTAAATAATTTTTGTGTCATTCCTGCGTTATTACTTTTAAATCATTTTTATACCATTTCTGCATTATTATTTTTACATAATTTTTCATAAATTTGTTATACGTATTCCTACCATACCCACAATAATTTTTATTTTTCAATTTTTCGATAATACCAAATACTCAATTCATATTGAAACATTTAATTCGCTAAATTCTTGAACGCTTGCAAACAAAGATTAACGTAACAGAAATGAAAGAATATCATTGAGAAAATAGTGAAAAATTGCAAATTCATTAAATTGTTAATATTTGTCACATTTCTAAATTACACTGTAATAATTGATTTAATGTTTAATCATTAGTATGGAGGTGAAAATCAATTTTCTTTTATGGTGGAACATTTATTATATTGTATTACGTCTCACGAATTAATCAACACTATCATCAACACTTCGTTCTTGTAGACGAGGTTGATAGCTCCACGTTTTTCGCATTTAAGTCATTCTTATCTATTCAGTTGATTATACTTTACGCTTTAACTGCATGGAAACCGTTAAGGTTGCAAATAGCAGTCCACTTAATGCAATTACTTCCATAAATCTCCCACTAACTCAGCCATTATTAATTGAATAATCAATAGGTTGGTATCAGTCACATAAATATCCGCTATGTAGCAAGTGGTTGCAAATTCACAGCTCTAAGTAGAGTGCAAAATTTATCAATTCACTGTATACTAACTACGTGAAGCATTGCTTCATCGTTGCATTTAAAGCTGTAACTGCTGAATACATTCATACTAATTGTATATTAATAAAATCTAATTTCCGACACAGTCAAATATGTAGTAAAAGTAGATTCATAAGAATAGTAAAAAATGTTCATGTCAACACATTTATGCTGGTTTCAATATTTTGCAGTGTTCTTTGTTTTTTGCAGTCTAACCTTGTTTCTTTACTCCTGGGAAAAAATATTAGGAATTGATTTTCTCTATAAAGCTGTTTTGTGACATTTCTCGTTCTTTCCCCTAACCCTTTAAATGCAAGCAGAAACTTTTTTCTTTAAAAATTTGAGAATCATTCGATGCAGTGAAAATGGGGCAAAATCCTCTAGAAATAGGTTTGCACTATAAAATTTTTGAGATCACATTTACCATTCAACAAACCCATGAAAAAATTGCGTAAATTAAAATAAAACAAAAAAGGCGGGAAAATATTTGAATTTAAAGGAACAAATTTAAAGGCGGCGAATTAATTAAAAAAAAAAGCCTCCCATAGTTAATACATTTTTCTTACTGTCGAACAGATTCTCTTGCTGGCCGTGACAATTCTGGCAGCGTCCGCTGTACCAGCTCCGATACCACCGCTGATCTCACCTCCGCTGGTCTACTCGCACCCCTACGTGAAGGTGTTTCCTCTCCACACAGCAACTTACCCTCTATCCTACGCTCACAGCTACAAATGGTACCACCCAGGATCAGTCTACGTCTACTGACAATAGAACCACGCTGAACATTCCTTCTGTTCGATCATTCTCACTCAAAAATGTCTACTATAAGAGCGACGAAGCGCGACAAGTCATTCTGTACCAACTCGAAATGTTTCTGAAATAAACTATGCGACTTCAAGTTGAACTAGTTTCCCTTCGCTAGACTAATTTCGTCTTCGAACTTACTCTCGTCGTCTTTTATGCCAGCTGTAAAATCCACGTGGAGATTGTCAAAGCAGCTCTCCGTTCGAATTCGAGCGTATCGTGGACGATGGAAAAGGCGAGGAACCGATACGAGACTGTCTTGTCGCGGCTGACAGCGTTTACTGGGCTGAGCGTTGAAAAGGGTGGAGAATCCTTTAGAGATAGGTCGACACTGTCGTAAAACGAAGGGAGGATATACTCGAAAGTCAGATTCATGCACGAACTGGGTGGAGACGAGTGGCATTCGAGCAACATCGTTTATTCGGCCATCTATATGCAGGGTGTACGATAAAGTTTTCAATGAACTTTGCCTATGTGTTGGGCAGGTCATTTTCAATGAAAAATGTCATGTACACTGTGGGTCTATCTCGTTTCGTTAGACAGTTATATCGAGAATAACGTATCAAGCATACACCGGGTGACCCAATAGTTCCAACCTACTTACTTTATTCCACATATGATGTACAGATCGTTTAGGAGATAACGTTCAAAACTCGTTATTCTCGAGCTTCTGAAAACATTTTGGAACAGTGTAATCAAGGTATCATTGCTGATACTGAGCTACCATAACTAGCTAGCTCCTGAAGCTAACACGAACAAGGCCTAATCTCAGTAACGAAACGAAATAGACCTATAGTGCACATGACATGTTTTCTTCAGAATCACCTGCTTAATACGCAAGCAAAGTTTGTTGGAAACTTCACCCGACACCCAGTATACATCTGTTTGCTTCGCCAAGAAGTGTAACGCAACGTCTCGTAACACGTGTCTCGCTTTATCCTGTCCCCGATCGAGGGTGAACGTTCTGGATCGCAAATTTTTAACCTACTCGCGCTACTCTACCTCGCAAACTCCTTCTCGTTAATCGAACAGAGCCGTTCGAGCTGTGTTTCAACATTCACAATAGATCACGAACAAAGGACGAAGGTTGAACAAAGTAACAGACACGATCCAATGTATTTTTTTAAATAAAATTTTATTAAAATTCCATATGACCAAAGGGGAGGGGTCCTGGATGATGGTGCAATGATCGAGATGCGAATGTCCGAATTACATTGATGATCTCAAAGTCGCGAATGAGCGAGGAAAGGAGAGAGCCTAGCCTGATTCCTTGACGCGGCCTGTTCCCGGTCGTCGCTGGTTCGCGTCTTGAACATTATTTCCCGTGCGACATTGTACCCTCGATGGTGAGATGGCCGGGATAGAGAAAGAGAGAATGGTTTTTACATCTGTGTTCCAAGTTGTCGCTGTCCTTTTTATTTGTTCCATCCTCGAAGCTACGCGTCTTTCCTTCGCATCGTCTCTTCGTTCGTTTCTTTTTTTCCTTTTTTTTTTCTCCTTCAATTTCCTTTAAGTTCGTTCTTTTCTTCTTGTTTGTTTTTTTTTTTTTTTTTGGTTGGTTTTTTGGGCGGGGACAATTTCAGAGGAATCAAAGGGGCGTGTGTATGTGTGTATGTGTTTTTTCTAGGGGGTGGGGCTGTCTCGTCGTGACTTGGTGGTAGTAAGATAGAATCAGCTCTGTCGCCTAGTGCAAGCCATGAGAAAGGAGGGGCAAGGGAGCGGCGGTCAGCACGGTCTTGGTGACGATGGGTGCGGTACGGACGATTGGGGCGACGGGCTGAGCGATAACGTGGGCAGCAGGCAGAGCCGCGTGGCTGACAACCAGAGGAGCGGTGATCGGTCCAATTCCATGATCGGCAACGATGCCGGTAAGACCACCAGGGGCGGCGGTAGCGACAGCCAGAATGGCGGCAAGAACAGCCTGTGGGAAAAGTGGCACGTGCAATTGATCTCTTACTGAACAACCGAACCGTTTCTTATCTCTTCCTTTGTAGGTAATTGTCGCAGCGTGTAGTCGAGTATCTTCCTACAGTCTTAGGAGTCTGTCTTGCCGATGAACAGCAACAACGAGAAGAGTCTTCTCCTATGTCTGCCCCAGCATCGTCGGGGGGATTTTCCCACGGAAACGTTAATCTTCGCGACGATTACGGGACTTACCGCGGAAACGAAGCGGACACTTTTGATCGCGTTAGAAGGATTCGAGACGAGTATTTGTTCTGCGAGAGTCCTTGGACCAATTAATATTCCGAGGTAACAGCGGAGGAGGAATCTTGAGAAGTTGCTTTTTGCTGATTTTTTTTCGGTGAGATTGAGAGTTGGAAGTTTTGCGTTGTTTCGAAGATCGAGAATGGTGGTTTCTTTGGGGAAACCGTTTGGGTGATTGAGATAGCGAGGTGCAAGTATCGAAGGACAATTTTTGATCGTTCTACATTACTGTCAGAAAATTTTCGATCATAGTAATTCGAAGCTAACTATAATTTTGCAGGTACAGAATACAAATTTGCGTAAGGTTAACTCTTTGGACTGGAGTGTGACTCGACATTAGTTTTAAATTGCTAGTTTGTTTTTTAACGCTATTTTCAATATAATTAGCAAAACAAATTGCTTAAATTGGTTCCTATCAGCGAAAGATCGTTTGAAGTGCATTTCAAATAAAATTCTTAAAATAATAGGAAATTTATTTTAAAAAATGTGGATTTCGAAGGGCTAAGGTTGCTTTCCCGTTCACCTTAAACCTACACAATTACTCGTTACTTTCATACTACTGAATTTTACCAAACACTTTCTATCAAGGGTAGAGTAAATCTCAGAACTGAACCGATACTTCGCCGTCTTCTCAATCATCATCGAAATCACTATGCAGTGACACAAGTTGTTAAAAAGAAAACTAGACGACTCAACAAACCGTGAAATTCATCTCGAACAATTAGAAACGCCACCTTGCTCCGGATAGCAGCGTTCACACGACTTCATTCCTTGGAAGTGACGTAAAGCATGTGTCGCGATCGCGAGAGCAAAAGCGGCACGCGAGCAACGATCTCCTGCTCGAGACTGGGTTTGCATAGAAGGAAAACCGTGGCGCGGCTTGCATTCCATTTTGTCCGACTGCATTCGACCAGTTAGCTAACAATGTGCATGCTTCAGTGATTTCGCTCGGTTGCCGAGAATTTTTGTGACCGGACGGAAACGCCGAGTGTGTCCGTTCGAGTGAACGTTGGATCGCGGCGCGTGGAAAGGTCACGGCGCGCGATACTTCTCTCGCGGGAGAGAACGCGACGCGCCGCTTTATCGATCAAAGGAAGACCGTGGTGAACGGAGGAATTTTCCCTGGCATTAAAACATAGAGCCGATCCGACGATTTACGGCGAAACGCGGCCGATATGCAAACTTAGAGACTCGACAGGAGCACCGTAGTGTCTCGTTCTCGATCGTTTCGCTCTCAGAAGAAGTGGAAAAACACGAAAGGATCTAGAAAAACGTGCAAATACCACGAACTTTCGAAAAGAGGGATTCGACGAAATTTGACAAATCCTTGGACAAACATGCTAATAAGGCAAAGAGAAGGTGTTTCGCGATCATTTCACTCTGGAAGAAATGGAAAATCACGAAAGGATCCAGAGAAACGTGCAAGCGCAGCGAACTTTCGAAAATGGAGGTTTAATGAAATTTGACAGATCCTTGAACAGAAACCGCGAAAGAGGGAAATAGAAGGTGTGCAGAAACTGGTCCCGTTCCACAGCAACTCTACATACGCTAAATTGCACGAGTGTGTATTATCGAGTAATGATCCGATGTAGAAACGAAAGTTCGGTATAGCGCAAGGGTAACACGAAATATACTGGATCAATTGACAAGACCGAAACTGCAAATCCTTTACTTTTACCATACACAACGATCGCTGTAACAATTTCACCCGATTTCTTCGGTCGAACTGTCTCAGATAGAACCCTTCGTCGCTCGTCCACAGAAATATCGATGAAAAAGTGAATCGTGTATCCGACGATCAGCAAAGAAGTAGTAATAGATATGATATGATTCTTACCAACTTGAACATGTTGAGTGGGTTGAGTGGGTTTGTTGTTTACTTGTTGAAAGTAAGTAAGCTTGTGCTGGATGTACAATACGGCGGTCCTTTTATACAAAAGTCCATTTTAAAAAATCGCTATAAATTTGATCACGTGGCCCGCCGTTCGACAGTCTGACGTTATGTATCAGTCGGTTGAGTCAGCCGGTCGACGAACGGAGTGGGGTGTTGTTCGACCAATGCACGCACGGTATCGCCACGAAACGACACAGCTGCGTCCAATCGTACGCTTTCAACCCCTCGCGATCGGTTCCGGGGAATTGGGTTAAGACAGTTTATGTGGAAACTGTGTTCGATCGCCTGCACAACCAGACACTCACACTCGCGCGTGTGACACACACGCACACACCGTTGAGTCGGGGTAAGTGCAAAAACAAAGTGCGAGGAATGAAAACGCAAAGGCGCGCGCTCTAAAGGCGAACACCGATTTCGTAAAAGCACAGCCAAGGCCTCTTCTTCGACTTATTTACAGAGATCGTAGGAGGCGTGAAACGTCTCTGCGAGAAGAATCCCGAAGAGGATCGAATGGAATTCGAGACTTGCGCTCTTTTCGCTCGTTTGTACCAGCGATTTGTGTGCGGATTTCAGGATGAATCGAGAGAAGAGAGGCGGGAAAGGAGGCAGAGTTGTGCTTGGATCGATTGAAAATTTGATTAATAATCCGATTTCGCGGATGATTCGAAGCACTCCAAAGGGTCGTTTAGTTGATGGGATCAGGGGAAACGCGGGCAATTATCTTTTCCATTGCGAGAATTTGCAGGGCGAGGGAAAGACCGAGGGTGGAGAACACTGTTTAAGAGAAATTGTTGCCTTTTCTCTTGTCTCTCTTGCAATTGAGATTTCTCGATTTAGTTAACAGTATTTAAGACTGTTTGCCTGTATTGAGATGTACGGAGGACAGAAAATGGACAAACTTTGCTGATAAACTTAAACACACTTACGTAGATTGTGATTTAGTATTATAAGAAATTAGACTTTTAGCGATCGTGATTCTTTTCTGGAAGAGAGATTGGAAGAATTTTTGTGCTTCGTTGCTAAAGAATTAAAAGGTAGCGGTTAAGTGACTCGAAGGTAGATCTACTCAGATCAGATCTGTCAGTTAAATACGTTTCGGTTGAAACGTATCACGACTACAGTTTCTAATGAATAATTGATACATGCTTACATTAACACCTGGAGAGAACGAATAGAATTCTTTCGCTGTTGCTGGAATATTAAATCGATTTTACTGTCATATTGATTTTCCGACAAGTCTCTATCTCGTAGAATTTAATGTAACGGTAAATGTAACATTTTACTTCTACGCGAGTAATTATAAATAATCGGAGAATTGTTAACCGTTCATTGCTTGATATCGTGTCGATAAATTGACTAATAAAAGTTGAAAAATAATTTAATACCTGAAATCGTATATATCTGTCAGAAATCCACCGAAATCGCCAAAATGGTAACGATTAAATTACCATTTTATGTATATTCCAGTAAATCCGTGAAAACGAGTAAATGTCTTTTATAATTGTTCTTTTGTTACAAAATTTGAATTTCTAGGATAGAGCATAATAAGCAATAATGGTAAATACCGCTATGAATCGGTATGCTACAGTAGAAGCATTATCGAAGGTAAGCAAAGAAAAACCACAGTTCCCTCGTCTCTCGAGTTTCGGATAAGAAACTGCAAGATAGTTACACGGAATTGCTTAATCACCAGAATGTCCATAAGAAAAAAAGGAACGTTTCACGGTCACTTAGAACCGTGAAGTCACTTAATTCGCAATGTGACGTAAATCCTACTTTACCACCATGCGTAAAACATACTGCCTGATACAAGGTCTAACGCCAGTTAAAGGAAAGTGCTTCCCACTGAAACATGTCGTTTTTGTTCAATTGGTCAAAATGTGCAGTTAATGTGCACATATATCGTGCGCTTTTCACTTTTACTCTTGTTACCCGAAGAACCTAATCTCCTCTCGAGGGACTATCTTCGTTCACCACACCTTTCCTCATTTTTAACACTAGAACTACCGACCGTGTCAAAATTACCCATCGGCATCTTTCGAAAAAACGTGAATGTTCAATACTGGTAAGTATTATCGCTTGCAACTTTCTGAATTTATTTTTCTACGTGTATTCGCCTATTTGTATCGGCATGAATCGAATTTTCCAATCACGGTTTACTTGCATAAAAATTCACTTTTGGAAAGTCGCTGATGGGTCATTTTGTCTGGGCTGGTAGTTCTGGTGTTAAAGCTTTCGTATATAAACAGAAGCAACGCTTATTTGCAGAACAATGTCTTATTTCACATATTCGCTATCGAACATAAAAGAAAATTGCCATTTTACGAAAAAATTGCCTTCACTGGTAACCCAAGAAATGTGAAATTGATAGAAAAGCTAGTTTGAAATTTGCATTAGAGTAACAATTCGTATAAAACAGTGACACATTAATCTCATCATTAATCCATATACGTTTGCCTAATTTTTTTTTCAGAACAGAGATAAGGGTGAAAATCCAAAAAAGGTTTAAAAGATTGAGGGTCCATTTTTGGTTCATTACGATATTTAAATACATACGAATATGTGTTTTATTATAGAATTTAATTTTGTATTTATAAATGAGGAAGAGATGAAAGTTCCAAATTTCTGCCATTTAACCCTTTGATCACCAGTGGAACGCATTGATCTCAATTCGTTTCTCAAATGTGTCACAAAGAATCACGCCATTCTTGTCGAAAAATTGGAAATACGACCAATTCCGAAAGTTTATTTAAATGGTGCAAATTCATTTTTAATCAATCTCTTGCAAAAAGAGTAATTCGTATCTAAATGTAAACTATACTCTGATACACCCTTTCGTTACTATTAACACCTACAGGTATTTTGAAAATTTGCTCTCCTTATACCTTCTACTAAATTCCCACCTTAATTTAATAAACCGAATTTTAAACGATAGGTCGTAATTAAAAATTTACCAATTTCCTTTTATTCTCCTATACCCTTCGTCCACAAAATCTCCTTCGCGCCGTTCAAATTCCCCGAAACCGTGACGAGAACATTCAGGCAGACCTTAAAACAATCTCGTTGCAGTCTGACCGAATCTCTCTGACTAATCGCTGGCTCACTGGCCGTTCGTTCGTAAAAACCTGTTGAAAATTGATGAATCAACGGGCGGAATTGTTGCGGCAACCGAGGCGTTATCCTGAGTTTCACGGCGAGTCTGTAGAGATTATCGAATTTCCATCTTATAACCGCGTAATAGCGATTCAGGTCGGATTATTCGTCCTCTTTACGCCGCATTAGAATCAAACTCTCGAGAGGTCGAGACGCGTAGCAAGTGCGGTGGATATCGTGTGTCAACCTCACGGAAGTCCGCGTTCGATGGACACGAAATGCGGCTTGACGAGCTGCCCAGGCACATGGCTAATGAAACCGAACGAAAGCTTTCTCCGCGGCTTATCGATATTAAATCCGGAGCCTCCACGTTGTAGTAACTCATCCAACGAATCCGTGATCAAATTTTGTGACGTGAAACGAGAGAACGGTTTATTCAGGAATAAATCCTGCGTGTCGGAGAACTCGGGATAGTTTTATTAATTGTTTCGCTCGGAGAGAGTATCTTGTCGCTGTGAAATATTTCCTTTTAGATGACTTTTTGTATGAAGTTGCTGAGAGAAATTAGCGTCAATGCTAATTAGGGATTTATTCATTTTGTCGTCGATTTATATTCGCCTAATTTTTTTCAGAACAGAGATGAGATACAATGAAAATTGTAGATATTAACATATTTGAAGAGTAAAGGAAAATAAAGTGTACCGAAAAATTGTTTAAAAAAATACACAAAAATTAGGAAATAATAAAGAGTATATACAAAAATATTAGAAGTACAAAAAAAAAAGGAATTGCATGTGTAATCGATTTCAAACGAAGAAAAATTTATGGCGGATATTGTGTCTCTAATGGTTAGTTAATAATCGATTATAAATGAGATACAAGTATGTGGAATCAATTGACAAATATATGGAAACGTCTCATACGGAATTCACGTTTTAACGTCCCTATTGAAATGCACTCACATTTTACAGCTAGATAATAAGATGACTCGTAAAATTTTATGTTCCATTAAAAGAGAGAAGTAGAAATTTTAGCGAAACGCACGATTTATGATCGGTAATGGTAGATCCTAACAAAGAAAGAACACTTCGGAAGCCAAGCCTTGCAGCTACCTAAATATGTAGGTAGTTAAAAATACAGTAAACGTGATTTCTTTAAGTATTATACGTTCATTTCACATTGTTTTACATTTTGGTAAGACCATAATTTTAAGACTCCTTTTAAGAATATTTAATCTTTGTAATCTTTATTTTTCTCTAATTAATACTAGAAAAATCATAAAAGTCAATATGACTCATCAGCAACTTTCCAAAGAAAGGTGAATCTTTGGTTACTGATAAGTATTATCATCTGCAACTTTCTCACTTTATTTTCTGCATCTTTATTTCCATTTCTATCGACACGAGAGAGATTTTTTAATTACCTTTATGTTACCTTAAAATTCACTTTCGGAATTTTGCTAGCGGGTCATTTTTGACCCGACTTGTCTTCCCTCTGTTAAATATCTGAGTGCAAGATTTTTCACCTGAATTTCAAATCCTTTCTATTACACCAAACGCACCTAATATAAATAGTACAAACGCTTTTACCTTTGCACAGCACATTGTCCTTCAATGTTCCAAATCAATGGTTCACGTTCGTTTCAAAAACACAGTTAACACTTTGGTGACCATTGACTGCTCTGACAAAAATTGATCCCAAAAACGCAACGATCGAGAGCCACCTAAGAAATTGAAAGAAAACCTAATTTGCTCACGAAAGGGTTAAGATGGCAAAAAGAAAAGCAGACACACACAGCTCCCAGGTAGTTCCAAGATCAAACGACACAATTGACCATGGAACCCTCGCTAGAGCAGCTATCTAAATCAATTTCAGCCCCCGTCGGTGTATCAAGTTGCTAAAATAAC